CGTCTCAGGGAGCCTCACAGATGTTCGCGATCACGCTTAAGCATTGAAAGCGCACCGTTTAAAATACGTAACTTTGCTTTGCTTGACAAGCTTCAACACAACAGTCAGGTTGATATGTGTATATGATTTTGAGCAACGTGAGCTACTCAAGGCCCAAACGCAATGTGGGCGGAGGCGGAACGGAAACGAAAAGTTTGACAGTTGTCACAAATGACACAAAGATGCCTTACCGAAGTCGATTTGATTCTAACTAGTGTTCAATCCGAAAAGTAAGCTTACTCAGATCGAGCTTTTACGCTGCCGCTGCCGTTCCGCTTCAGCCGTCATTGCGCTTACACTCTTCGTCTATTTATTCAACAATCACCGGGGTACTCCACGTTTTATCCGGATTTATTTTTCTATTCGAGAAATTGATCTAAAATTATTGGCTACACTTTAACAATATTGTATTTATTTCTTTATTTTTTAGTATTTACTTACGCTGCATAGTCTAATGTGGGGACGATCTTCGAACAACCGCACTTCTTTCTCATTTACCCTCCGTTACTCGCGCTGTTGTACTTTGTACAACACACATAAGTTTTCCATTGTCGTTTTTTTTTTTGCTGAGTTACCAATCGATCTGAAATCAACGAGTATTCCTCAAAAAACTTGTTTTGATTTAAACAAGGTAAACTTTGATTACAGTAAACACCTTAACAATGCGGATAATAGGGAAAATGTAAACGAAAACCGCGTAGACTTTGACTATACTACGTGGGATTTGACTTAATTGATTACAACATGGAATATAAAAGACATTTTGAAATTATCCTAAAAAGAAAAGGAGACTTTAAACATTCATTTGGTGGAAGCTTCAGCGATATTGATCTTTTAAGCTAATGTTTTATATCTGAGGTACGTGTTACCACTAATTTATCAGAGGTATACAAGTGGAACGACTCACCCCAATTTATGTATCCACAAATCTGCATGAAACCCTTCACCAGTAAAAAAAATCCAGAATATATTTGTCTTAAATATCCCACTTAGGCTGATGTAAATTGTATTTTTATTTTATGATATTTGATATGCGAGAATTGCCCGCCAAGTTATGAAAAATTTCTGAACTACTGTTCATCAGCCAAAGGAGCTTTATCTCCTTAACAGCTTTGCCAAATACAGTAAATTTCTAGCTGTTCAGGATCTCGAGATATTGTATATGCGAAGATTTCACGTATATCCTTGCGCCGCGTAGTGAGAAAATTCTGTACTGTTGACCAACGAAAAAGTTTTGATTTCCTGGACAACTTTGCCGATGACAGTTTAGCAGGTCTCGAAATATATCTAAGGAGAGAATTACACGTGTATGATGTAAAAAAATGAATGTTTGTCCACCAGCCAAAAGACCTTGGCCCCCTGAACAACTTTGCCGAAGACAGTAATATTCTATTTTGTCAGAATCTCGTGATATTTTATATGTGAAAATTTCACGGGTGTACAAGCGCCGCTTAGGAAATTTTCAACTATTGTACACCAAGCAATAGGCTTTGACCGCCTAAACAACTTTGTTGAAGACAGTAACTTTCTATCTGGTCAAGATCTCGAAACAAACAACATGCGAAAATTTCACGTGTATACTTGCGCTACGTAGTGAAACAAATTTGAATTACTCTCCACTAGCGACAAAGTTATGACCTCTTGAACAACTTTGTCGACGACAGTAACTTTCTATCTGATCAGAAATCTCGAGTACGGGTTGAGGCCATCACAATGCTTTGTTTTAATTAGACAGTCGGATTCCCTCAGCCGTGCCAGTTCTGAATTGACTGTTTGGTGATGACTGCAGCGCCCGCGGGACACACACCCACACACGGGAGCCCGCGAGAAAATTCTGGGCTACTGTCCACCAGCCAAAAAGTCTTGACCCCCTGAACAAGTTTGCCGAAAACAGTTACTTTCTATTTGCTCTGGATCTGGAGCTATTGTATATGCGAAAATTGCATGTGTATACTAGCACCACGTAGTGAGAAAATTCTGAACAACTGTCTACAAACGAAAAGATCTTGACTTTCTGACCAACTTTGCCAAAGACATTTACTCTATATATGGTCAGTAGACTGATGCAAAATTTGACTTTTTCGCTCCACAGTGCTTAAATGGTTTCAAATCGGGTCCTGATTAGCCTCCCAAAGTTACAACTCATTTGGTTAGAAATGTTCACGCTTCGCACAAGCCATTTGAAGTTTACATGTAAACTAGTGTGGGAAATCTCAACTTTTTGTTCATTGCCTTCTAGTCTTTTTCCATATTGAGCTGCGAAACAGTTCTATAGCCATTCTTATAGAAAATTTTCTCAGCTACAACTTTGCTCAAGATCGTTTCTGTGTAAAACAAGACAGGAAAAAGTTATTAATTATTTAAGAGATAAGTAAACTTATGACATGATCAAGCAGCTGCTCTGTAGGCAACACTGTATTTTGCAGTGTGACATAGTAGCCATGATTTTTGTGTCCTATTCAACGCCCTAGAAACACCAATGTTGCCTGCTGAGCAGTTGATTGAGCATGATCAAAAGACATCAGCGCATTAAACCATTGATAACTTTCGATCCTTGCATTTAATCAAAAAGTGGTCTTCAGCAAAGTTGTAGCTGAGAAAATTTCTTACAAGTACAGTTGAAAGTTTTTGAATCAGACCGATATGGTGAGTTATTAGATCGACATGAACAAAAATCTTGTTTAGTAATTCCCATACAAACTTCAAATGGTTTGTGCCATCTCAGTTCTCACCAAATGAGCTCAAATTTTGAGAGGTTAGTCAGGATCCGATTTGGAATCGTTTAAGTATTGTGGAGCGAAAACTTCAAATTTTGCATCACTCTAATGGTCAGGATCTAGTGATGCATCACATGCGAGAACTTAACATGCATACGAGCACTACCTAGTGAGAAGATTCTGAACTACTGTTCACCAGCGAAAAGGTTATCTCCGATCTCCTGAACAGCTTTGCCGAAGACAGTAGCTTTCTATCTGCTAAGGATCTCGAGCTATTGTATATGCGAAAATTGCACGTATATACTAGCGCCACGTAGTGAAAATTTTCTGAACCACTCCACCAACGAAAAGATCCTGAAAAACTTTGCCGAAGACAGTAACTTTCTATCTGGTCAGGATCTCGAGATTTTCTATGTTGTAACCAATTAAGTCAAATCCCACGTTGGACAGACACCGTTTACGCGGTTTCCATTCACATTTTCCCAATTATGCGCATTTTTTGGGGTTAACTGTGATAAAAGTTTAGCTTGTTTAGTTAGAAAAAAGTTCTTTAAGGAATACCCGTTGGTTTCATATTGATTGGTAGCTCGGCTGCAAAATGGCAATGGAAAACTCACACTGTTGTACAAAGTACAACGCGCGAGTACTCGTGTTGCAAAAGTTGGTGCAAGTAACGGAGGGTTAAAAACGCACGCACGTATCCATTGCCGGCGGTAATTGGGTCCTTTGAAAAACGGTAGAAATTAAGCCCTGGATTCGCTTTATCGTTTCTTCTACATCCGATTACCGAAACAAAATAGAGCAGATTTGAACAAAATGAAAATGACTGAATGGAACCACTATTGTTGCTATGCCAATTATGTCTTGATCAACAATAGAAAACGGCCCATCAGCATTTGTAAACAAACCGTTCCAAAGCCCTTTACTCACAAAGCGAAGGTTGCCCACGCAAGCCAACACCATCATCGGATAGGGGAAACTTCCCCCTACACGATGATGGTGTTGGTTTGTGTTGGTTGTTTTCGATTTGTCAGGAACACTGTACCAAAACATCCGCAATACTCCGAATGATTATTGCATTGCTCGAGCCCTTTAACAATATGCATTCGAATTTCGGATGATTTTCTTATGGTTGAATTCGTCGTCAGATGATGAACATCCATATGACTGTCATCCAAATACAGGATGATTTTCGTTTGAAAATTAGCTATAAAACATACGGCACTCAGAGGACAAACATTTAAGAATAGTGTGACATGCAAGTGCTTTTAATTAGATTATAATTTTATTATGTACAATTCCATACTGAATAGCCATAATAAGCCATTCCATCATGGATACAAAAAAATTTCGGGGTGGAGAAAACCTCCTCCACCACGAATTAGCCAAACATTGGTTTTCATCCTTTACCTTTGTTCGTAATAGCTCTGATAGCGATGCATATGCTTCCACCTCGTTTGTCAGCTCAGATCAGCAAATGACGTTCGATAGAATTATTTACATCATCGTTTTGAATGATTTGCGTTATGGGGCTGAACCAATACCATATGCATTTCCATTTAGTATGACAGCCATTTTGCAGAGAGCATTACGCATTTCAACTGAAGGTCCTATCCTTCTCATAACAAGTTTCATCCAGTATTCGAGAGGAAAATCATCTGATTTCAAAACAACCGTCATCCGGTTGCAGCTATCATTCGAAAAAGCGATTTCGGTCTTTTGTTTTGAATGGTCTGAGGTTTCATTCGATCAGAGGATGATGTTTGTGTACAGTGAATGCGCTTTGGAACGGTTTGTTTACAAATGCTGATGGGCCCTTTTCTATTGTTGATCCAGATGTGTATCATACCAGCAACACGGCCAAAACGATTACAAAAAACTCTGTAGTAATTTCATCGAGGCTGGCTTGTGTTATGTTCAGCCAATCAGAAAGCGGTCTCCGTTTGACATTAAATTGGTCTTAAAATTTAACATGAGCAGACGCCACCCAGGTTCAAGCCAGATTACTGTTATTGTGAGAGCAAAGAATTCATTGACAAAACAGACTCTCGAAACGAGCGGACTACGAGAGCTACATCGCTGTTTAAGGTTGGGTGGAATTTGTTGCTGGATTTCTCTAATTTGTCCTCTTTTTTAGTTACCAGAGGTATTTTCAGCGATGCTTTCGGAAGAAGAATCCTAGTGATTCTACGTACTAACCTCTCTGGAATTTGGGGTAGTGGCTTATTTTTGTTAGGTGCTTTATACAGGTTCGACTTTATTCAAGATAGCGAGTGAACGGAAAAATGAATGGAATTGGTGAAAAAAATCCCAGGAAATTTTTATGAAGACCTACATTTTCGGAACTGAGGAAACGGTGGTGTTATTTTTTGCTGCCTCTGTATGAAAAATGCTTAAATTCGACTCTGTGATAATAATTAAGGTATACATTTCCAGGAAGGTTTAATTTGATTCTATAATTTAGTTTTTTCAATGCCATGAAAACGTATAGAAGTATTTGTATTTAGAGTCAAGATAAAACAAAATATTTGCCGCCCGAACAAGTTCCTGTAGTCGCTTTATTTATAGTCTGGCGGTTAGTATTTCGGGAACCAATTTTAGCTGGCAAAGTGCAGAACCAATTAAGCAGTGCTGAATTTTGCAGTCTTATTATTTTAATTCAGCCATAATTTCTGTATATCTGCTATCTCTATAAGCAGGGTGCATTTTGTTTTTGGTTTGAAAACTTACGTCACCATTTTTTTTTTTTGGTTTTTATCTCCACCTGACTATTAAAATAGGGACTATAACTACCACTTTTCATCAATTAACATTCCCAATAAATGACAAGATGATAGGATTTCTCAGAACTATTTCCTAGCTCAATAAATAAACCACTTCTATTGCTGCCTGCAGGCAATCGGATTTATGCTTCAACGAGTCTCATGAACACTACACATTTTGTGACCACCAATCAATAGGTATGAATCTATTCCTGTGGATAATTGCTTCTAGCTAGCACCGTCACCTCCGGCACCATATCTCAGCCGATGTAGCATTCGGTAATGGCACTGGAACGACATCTTCCCAAACGTCTCTGACAGTCGGAACAGCTTCTTATTGCAGTCTGTGAAAGAAGTAGGTCGGAAAAACGGAATCATAACGGGAACACTCGTATGGGTACAAAGCTTCTCCCGTGATCATCCACAGCCTTCATATGTGTGGTACTTACTACTCCGTCACAGGAAACATAACCCTTGGAGTGGATGTAGCCATAACCGCAGGACTTGGCTCCGTAAGCCTTGCAGGAGGAGCAGGTCTTTGCCTGCAGATGGTTATTGGTGTGGTTGATGGTGAACACCAGATGGGAAAAAGGAAAAGCATTAGTTACAACCCATGTGCCGAATCAGTGGTATGGGATATTAGTATGGATTCAGTTATTTTCCAATTAACCCCAAGACAGTTCAGTGGAAAGGGTTGCTATTTGGATGCAGCCGCGTGGTATGGTGTGGAATGAAATGAGCTATGAACTATGCAAAGGGATCAGATAGTAAGTGAAACATTATGCCGTAGGTTTTCATTAGTTCCTGTAACCAGAGATCAGCTTTTGAAGAGAAACCCTAACAAAGTGGTCAATAATAAGGAAAGATTAAATTTTCTATCGAAACAGTTTTGCAAATTCCCAAGCGTTCTATCAAACTATTAACGAATATGAAGAGCTTTGAGCACACTCTCACTTAATAAAGGGATTCCGTTAAGAGGTTCGACAAATTTAAAAGAATATTAACGAATGTTAATCGAAAATCACTTGATATGAATTGGTTTAGTAAATACATTTGTATCACTTATAATTTCAGTGTGAACAGCTTTACAAAATTGGTTTATTTCTACTTTTACTTTAACCTTATTTAGGTGTTGGAGTCAATATGACACAAAATGAAGTTTAAAAACGGAATAACTTTTTACGGTGAGTATCTAAAGATCTGAATTTCTTGACTTTTCCTACTTTCTGAAGCCTTACATTTTTACATCGAAATCATTTTATTTTGACGTTTCTGAAGGGGTACATAAATGCTTCTTGATAAGGTTTTCGCAATCAGATCTACATGTTTTATAGCTAAATTGTTTGTCAGAGTCTGAACGTAGAGTTTTGGTATACCAAACCGGTTTTGACACGATTGGCCACAAGGGCTCAATGCCAAATGAATTCAGGCTTTGCCACAGGGCCGATACGTCATTAACAAAGAGAAATCAATACCTTACTGAGGCCCATTTATGGTTTCTTTCTTCATTTGATCTAACCTGAATATGCCAGATGCCAGTTCCGCTAGCTACAATTAACTTTCTCATCCCCATAAAAGCAATAATAATGTTGTATATGGTCGATTTGGGTAAATCAAGATGATCGTTTTCGTTGGCACCCTAGTATACACCATCATGAAGGATTTGGGCATCTGAACAACTTTATCTAAGACAACTATTTCTAAGATGATTAGGATCTCGTGACATAGCACAAATTTAAATTCATATACAGCCTACCCAAAAAACATTAACTAATAAGAGTTTATTCAGGCAAACATATGCTTCTTCAACAGTTAAACAATTGTTTACTCAGTCTTTAATCAGCTCATATAATTTGTTGGGTAGCATTGCGCAGTAAGAACATTTTGAACTTATTTGTATAGTTTATTTAAATACTCGATATTGAAGGTACAATCAAGTTGTGTAATTTTTGACCCATACTTTAAAATAAAATTGTTCGTCCATAATTTTAAAATAACTAATTTTTGAAATTTTCTATCGACTGTAATATTTGCCTTATTCGCTGATTTGAATTCGCAAAATTGTTCAAGAATTCATTTACGCAAATTCTGAGAAGTTAAGCCATAATATTTTTTCCCAATATGAACAAAAGTATGCAATAAGACTGCGAATTCTTGAAATTCAATTTGTCTCATGAAAGGTTCTGGTTCATGAAAGGTTTTGACCATTTACCGAAAGCCGCCCGAAAAAAATGTGGAAATTGCATCCAGTTTAATATCATCAAAAACAACCCAGGCAACCCATATTAAACTTAAGTTCTAATATCAATTAAATGTTTTTAAAGCCGTCGTAAGTTTTTTTTTTACTAGTTCGTTTATTTACTAGGCTCAGTCGTGTGTGACACTTTGCGGAGCCAAAATCAGTAATGATTGAATTTACATTTGAAATAGCAGTAATTCTAGGCTAGTATTGGGTACCAATTACTCGTGGCGGGCTCGAGGTTAATGGGTAACAATTTCGATTGGAAGGAGCTAGGTAGGAAACTGGATTTTGAAGCCTCCTTCAGATACTACTCTCGGACGGTTGACCAAATCCTGGCTGGGCAGGGGCAAGTAGCACAGGAACAGGAAGATAATAACACTGGGACATAATGGCGGGAAATTGTTTGGAAAGGAGGGGAGGGTCACATCAAACTCTAACATCAGACAAACAAAGGAATTCGTAGATCGCTTGCATGTAGAGAAGATCACGTGTTCCCACTACATCTCTTACTTCACGGAAGGGTTGTCTACCTCGGGCCACTAGGGTATCCAATAGACTGATGCAAATTTTGACTTTTTCGCTCCACAGTGCTTAAATGGCTTCAAATCGGGTCCTGATTAGCCTCCCAAAGTTACAACTCATTTGGTTAGAAACAGACTTCGCACAAGCCATTTAAAGTTTACATGTAAATTACTATGGGAAATCTCAACTTTTTGTTCATTGCCTGCTAGTCTTTTTCCATATTAAGATGCGAAACAGTTCGATAGCCATTCTTATAGAAAATTTTCTCAGCTACAACTTTGCTCAAGATCGTTTCTATGTAAAACGAGACAGGAAAAAGTTATTAATTATTTAAGAGATTGGTAAACTTATGACATGATCAAGCAGCTGCTATGTAGGCAACACTGTATTACATAGTAGCCATGATTTTTGTTTCCTATTCAACGCCCCAGAAACACCAATGTTGCCTGCTGAGCAGTTGATTGAGCATGATCATAAGACATCAGCGCATTGAACCATTGATAACTTTCGATTCTTGCAGTTGAAAGCTTTTGAAGCAGACTGATATGGTGAATTATTAGATAGACATGAACAAAAATCTTGGTTTTACCATAGTAATTCCCATACAAACTTCAAATGGTTTGTGCCATCTCAGTTTCTCACCAAATGGGCTCAAATTTTGAGAGGTTAGTCAGGATCCGATTTGGAATCGTTTAAGTATTGTGGAGTGAAAATTTCAAATTTTGCATCACTCTAGTATCCAATAGTCGTGCTCTGGAGGCGTCATTACTCGGGAAATACCAAACTGCGTGATCGATGTCATCATAACCGGTTCTGCACCTACATACATTGCTGTCAACGAGGTTTATTCTAAAGAGATGTGCGTCTAGCGAGTAGTGGTTGGACATAAGTCTTGACATCACTTGAATGAATCCCCGACTTACATCCAGACCTTTGAACCACGCTCTCGAAGAAACATTTGGAATATTGGAATTTAACCACCGCCCAAGAGAATTACTTGTCCAATCGTTTTACCAACTTAAAAGAGAACTCTGACGTACTAATGGGAAAAATTCATCATGTGAAATTCTTCTATCATAAATCTCGTTTTGTTGTACGCCCACCTTTGCGAGAGAGTCTGCCTTCTCATTGCCTGGGATTGAGCAATGTGAAGGGACCCATACAAAGGTAATCATATATGATCTTTCGACCAGCACACTCATCTGCTCCCTTACCTTTGAAAGGAAATAAGATGAGTGCCTACCTTGTTTCATCGACCGAATAGCCTCAATAGAACTGAGACTATCCGAGAAGATGAAGTAATGGTCTATGGGCATATCGGAAATCATCCCCAATACGAAGTTGATTGCTGCTAGCTCAGCAACATAAACGAAACAAGGATTCTGAATTTTCCGAAAGGCGGTTGAGTATTCATTGAAGACGCCGAAGCCAGTGGATCCATCAATTCGTGATCCATCAGTGAAAAATTTTCTATTGCAATTGATTTGTTGGTACTTTTCAGCAAAAATGAGGGGAATTGAAATAGGTCGAAGTTGATCTGGAACTCCTTGAATAGCCTGTTTCATGGAGAGATCATAGTCAATGGGGGAACTGTAGTTAGTAAAGCATACACGAGAGGGGTTGTAGCAAGGAAGGCTAATATCCGATGACATATAATTAAGATAGACTCGCACGAATCTAGACTGGATGCTCAATTCGAGCATTTCTTCGAAGTTTTCAATCACAAGGTTGTTACTGACACTACATTTAATCAATATTCTTAATGAGAGCTCCCAGAAACGGTTCTGCAGGGGTTTTACGCCCGCTAGGACCTTTAGGCTCATACTGTGTGTTGAATGCATACAGCCAAGGGCAATACGTAAACAACGATATTGAATGCGTTCCAATTTAATAAGGTGGGTTTTTCTTCCCGAGAGGAAGCAAAAAGAGCCATACTCAAGAACTGAAAGAATAGTCTTTTATATAGTTTAATGAGGTCCTTCCTTCTGCAAGCTGTCTAAGCGTGCATAGATTATCTAAGCAGTTATCAATATCTTTGACATAGAAATTATAAAGTAAGGGACTTAAACATGAACCTTGTGGTAAGCCCATGTAGCTAATTCTAGAAGTTGTTTGTCTTTTGTTTTTCTGACAGCAAATTATACAAGAAATTATTCAAAATACCGGGTAATCCACTACTGTGCAAATTGTCTGACAGTATGTCTATGGAAACCGAATCAAATGCGCCCGTAATATCCAGAAAGACTGAAGCCAATTGCTCCTTGTGCGCAAAGGCCAGTTGAATATCAGATGAAAGCATCGCTAGACAATCGTTTGTTCCTTTACTCTTTCGGAAACCAAACTGCGTATTTGAAAGTAGGTTGTTTGATTCAACCCAATGGTCAAGTCTTGATAGGATCATTGTTTCTTATCATTTCCTTAGGCATGATAACATAGAGATCGGACGGTAAGAATTGTGATCAGACGCTGGTTTCCCAGGCTTTAGAATATCTGTTACTTTAACCTGTCACCATGCTGGTGGAACTATATTGAATTCCATAAATGAATTATATAGGTTAAGTAATCGTCTTTTAGCGATATCGGGGAGGCTTTTTAGAAGGTAGAATTTGATCATATCGCTTCCCGGAGCAGAGTTATTCGATGAAAGAAGTGCCATTGAGAATTCCAGTATTGTGAATGGTTCATCCAGAGAACCGTTACTTTGGGCTGTATCCCGTAAAGTTGGTTGTGCTGGAACAGAATCTGGACAAACCTTTTTAGCGAATTCGAATATCCATTGTGAGGACTATTCTTCACTATCATTGAAAGATGAGCGGTTTCGCATATAGCGAGCCTTTTTCCAAAGCGTTGTCATCGAGGTTTCTCTAGAAAGTCCCTCGATAAAAGTACACCAGTAATTTCGTTTCTTTGCTTTTAGTAAGTTTTTAAGCTTTTTTTCAAGCTTTAGATACTTTTCAAAAAGCTCAGATCATTCATGTCTACGATAATCTTTAAAGACATCGGATTTCTCAAGATACAACTTTGTGCATTCGTCATCCCATACAGGGGTGGTGGGTCTTCTTTTGAGGCATGCACTTGGAACACGTCGTTTCTGAGTTTCTAATCCGCTGTCGTAAGTATTCTTAAGTATTTTAAAGTATTTTCAATCCTGGATAATGTTCATCATAGTGACCGTTGCTTGTGTAGTTGATTTTTGTTGTAGCTTGAACGATTTATGACTTTTCGTCTCTTTTAATTGAAATTATATGTGTAATCATGTTAATGGGTAAGTATTTTAAATTTATTTATGAAATAGTGTAACAAAGCAAACCATTTTTCAGCAAACCATTTGGAGCAGGCACAATATTCATTGGACTGTTTTCATTCATCCTATTATAATTACTGATTTATTCTAACTGACTGTTCCATGTGCTTCCAAACATTCAGATTCCGGAGGCATTAAAGGACGCCAAACTGGCATTATTCTGACCTGTCCAATCAAATCATCTAGGTCTTAGGCCAAGAGTTTACTTCATATTATTTATGCTGAGCATTGTATAAGTTCTTCTCAAAGCTATGCTGCTCATTTGCAAGTAAGCCTGAATGGACCTCCCCACAGTCCCACAGTTTGAGGAGCATACATTGCTGGATTACACCGTACAGGCGAGAAAGTTAAGATAGTATCCTACTTAAAAATTCTACATAGATTTCGTGGTTTTAGGTTTCGGAACCGATAATGACAAGCTGATGATTGAGGATTGCAATACACTCGCTTTGTTACCTTTATGTTCTATAGAGGCAACCAGATGACTCGTGCGACACGATGAAATGAAAAAGATGTCTGCCAAGCTTGTCAATATTGTGAAATAATAATTTGTGCAATTCTCACAATAAATATACGCGGTACACGATTTGAAAACCTAGGGCTTATAGAAGTAGTGATTAAACTATTCCAACATTATCAAAAGGGGATATGCCATTTCAATCTTGTCCAGACTTGATAATCGTTTTCCAACGTTTAGAACATCGATTCCCAACGTTGCTCTACCGATCAGCTTGGCCTACATTGCTTAATTCCTTTTGTGTCCTCTTCGTTCCATGGGGGTTCGCGAAACCCGGGTTGAAGATCGATGGTTTAGAATAAGAGCGTCGAAGGTTCCAAATACGAGAAATTATTGTCCACTTTCAGATAAACACATTCAGCGGGAAGCTATGAGATGTGATTCTCAGGATGCAGAAAGCAAGGTAATGGTGTGGGAATCCTCTTCAACTTCTGATTCAGCTCCGATCAGCCTAAATTATTTAAGTTAGTGTCACACTGTCAATAGCTACACAATGATGGAATTCAAATCAATGGGGAACGGGTGGAAGATTCCCTCGACTATCAGCTAGACAGAGTTAGGTTTATACCATAACGTGAAATGCTTGAGTGCTTGTAGCGCGGCATCATTTAATTTGTTCTCAAAATAGAAGCCATAATCGGAATAATATTCCGTCACTTCATCTAAGGCATTATAATGATTGAATTTCTTGCTAGGTACTCTAAAAATATTCACTGAAAAATGCTAGACGATATTAGATAAGCAAACAAATTTAATTTGTATAGCAACGGTGGTAGTCTAGGTGGCAATAAACCAACGTTAAATATTTCTTAAGTTTTTTTTAAGTATTTCCAGGTATCTTAGATATTAGTAAGGACTTTCTGTGTACAATGCGAGAAATTCAAAGTTTAGAGTGGGATGCCCCTAGTCAAAAATGATCGAGTCATTTAAAGCTCTACAATTCCCGTTCAGCAAAAGATAGTATACGAAATCGAGAAAAAAAAAAAAAACTGGACTGCAGCTCGGTATATCGTATTAAGTAAAAAAAAAAAGTCAAACGCAATGGTATTTTAAGCCCAAAAAATTCTTTGTCAGTCTGGAGATCAAACTCACTCTCTTCGACCAATTATGCTTAGCTTTTATTGCCAAGGCTTTCGGTTAACCACATTAGAAAAAGAACATTACTCAGCCAATCGAGACAAAATCTAAAATGGTTGATAATTCAATAACCAAAATAGTCTTTTTTTTTTAATCACGCTGCATCGATTATTTTATACTATATATTGGTGAAAAATAAATAACACATGCAACCATTCCTTACATAAACAAACACCAGGGCATCCGCATACGTCGCGGAAACTAAGATCATTGCCAACAAAATACAAACTGTTTGCTGCTTCATCTTTTTTCTCAATCACAATGCGTTGTTCTTGTCGCCAAAATAAAAACACTCCTCTCAAATGTCGAACTTGTTTCTGCACTCTCTTTGATCACCGATTGCCAACAAATTTACTTCAACTGAAGCGCACTGTCTTGTGAGCTTATATTCAGTGCAATGGTCGTTGCTCAGAACGAGTGAGCGGCCCTGCCCTGAGGGAGCCTACACAGGAATCGTTTGAAGTATGACTATATGAATTAAAGCAAATATTGAAACAAAGCTTATCAATTTGAACAGTTGCACGCTGCGACTTTGAACTTCCTCAATTCTTTCGTAATATTTTCAACTTGAAATGACTATGATATAATTGAATTGATTACTTAAATTAACTTTAGAAAAATCTACCACCTTGTGCCGCAGGGGTGGCAAACAACTGCCATACTGATTCCGTTAGTTATTTCAATCATTCGATAGCTGTTTTGGGCCTTGGAGCACCATAAATTGATATTCATGGGTTTTATTTATAAGTCTAAAAGTAATCTAGAGTCCCCCCTAATGCACGCTAGTGTTCAAATTCCCTTTACATGTTTTCATCGCTTTCAAAAATGTATCAAAATCAAACGACGATTCATAATTGTGAGGAATTCACCTGCTAACTACACCCATTATGGCTACCATCTCCGAAAACTCCAGGGGTGGTGTGGGGTATAAACAAATAAAGAAATGCATACGCAACGATAATATTCACATCGAATGGGGTGCTTGTGTCATATACATTATGTACCTACCTATTATCTTTTGTTTGTTGCTCTCCTTACGAACGTTTTCCAAGAAATGTACATATTTCATTGTAAAAGACGTGAACGACATGCATCCGGGGCTTACCCTTGTACTGGGGGTAAAATGAACATCCTAAGAAATTTCACCGTTTTGTCTTTCATAATCCAATTAAATGTTGAACGTTACACATAAAGCAAAGCTTCCATTCATATTCAGTAGACAACAGCAATAGCATTAGTATCGAATTCAATACAGTTTAAGCATTGCTCTTCTCACAAAAAGCCTCATTCAATTGTGATGTTCCACATCATTCGAAGCATTCTGAGAACTTTTTCAAAAAGCGCACTCTCATCAATCAAAATTTGTCTCACATTAGCCTCACTCAATTCTGATGTTCAGTATCTTTGGAAAATTCTGGGAACTCTTCACATATGCGCCTTCTCAGCAATCAAAATAGGTATTCTTAGCGAAAAAAACAAGCGATGATGCTGATACGCTGGTACAAAAGATTTCTTGTATCCAGTCTCAGTAGTAGATCTTACATTCCGTAACGTACCACGAAAAGGTGATCTAACCACGTTACGGGACAATACAAGATTTATTTTATGCATGCGAGTAAAATGAACATGTTGAAAATTAACATACAATGGGAGTAATTAAACCAAACACTGGGGGCAAAATGATGTTACAGTGGGGTTTGTTTGAAACGAAGCTGGGAATCAGAAGAACTCTATACACACTGTTCATTTTACCCCTTTTGTGAGCTGCTAATTTAACCCCAAAGCATCAATTGTTTTCAAACGCTTATTTTAAATCGAATCATTATTGAAAATACTTGGAATATTGGAAAAATCCTCAGCAATACGACGTATTATTAATTACTAATGGATTGACTTTATTGCATTTTGATATATCATCCCTGAAAAGCTTATGCACTGCGTGCAGAAATTAGTATCACAATTAGAGTCGAGCGCATCCATTTATTTTTATTTACATTTCATAAAAATTTAACAGCTACTGATACATGATGTTTTAAAGAGTTTGAAATACTCTTCGAAAAGAGTGTCAGTTGATTTGGATTAAAATTTAACTATTTTTTCCGGGATTATGCTACCTCGTCCTTTTACATCGAGTTCCCCCATATACAGGTACTTTTTTCCGTTATAAACCGAGCTGCTGAGTTGACATCTTTGCAGCATTTATAGTTTGCGAAGGAGATTCACCTGTATACTAAAGACTCATTCGCCACTTCCTTTCATCCAGCATGCGTACTATTTTATCAGTAATTTTTTCCAATTTGTCTCATTTCAGGTTGGTAACATATGATCGGACATCTTGAGTATCAGATTGGACCAAATTTAGAAAAAGTAACTATGTTTTTTTGTTTTCAAAGTTATGGTTAGAGGGAGCCCTTATGCAAAACGCGTCATAGACCAAAAAAATGTTTGTAAACACAAGTGTTAATATCTGGACTAAGGGTTAAAAAGATCTTAAGATCTTAAAGTACTTTGATTAATTATGTTTGTATTACTCCATACGTGAAGTTAACGATGGTTAACGATAGTTGACGACACCTTCCATCCACTCCTCCGGTAATATCTCCTCCTCCCAAATCCTGGAAATTACCCAGTGCAGCACTCTAACCAGTGCTTCACTATCGTATTTTAATAGCTCACTTGGTAGTTTATCTACACCAGTTGCTTTGTTGTTCTTCAGCCGACCGATCTCTTCCTGAATTTCTTGAAGATCAGGGGCCGGTAGCCTGTCATCTTCTACGCGTGCTCCAAGGTCTATTGCCGTGCCACCTTCGTTTTCTGTTGCTTCACCGTTGAGGTGCTCGTCATAGTACTGCTTCCACATCTCAATCGAGTTCATCTCTAGACTTTCAACCGACCGGTCGTGTTTGTCTATTGCGGAGCAATATTAGTTCGTTTGCGGTTTGTAGCTGAGGCTACTGTTAGCGTGTTAGGTCTATTGTTCCTCGTGGGACAATAGAATAATATATAAATCGGAACCGTTGTGGAAACAAAGGAGAAAAATGGCGGAAGCTCGTGCCAACTCGATGCGAGTTCACTTCGGACTTGGAAAAAAGGAGCCAACGGATCATGAAATATTCCAATTCATGAGGGTGAAGATGGGGCTGAACGCAGCAGGTCTCCTGTCCATGTACAAAGATCCCAGGGAACATTGTATTATCATCAAGTTTAAGACGGAAGAACAATTGAAGGGAGCACTGCTACGTCTTCCCTCGTCAATGGATTTTGACTACAGCAAGTATGAGTCGACCAAGGTTACGTTCTCCGCTGCTTCTGCGGTGTTCAGGTATGTCCGGATCTTCAATCTCCCACCAGAGATTGAGGACAAAGAAATATCCACCGTGCTTTCGAAGTACGGTATCATTCAAAGGATGGTACGTGAAAAGTACGGCGCAGAGACAGGATACCCTATTTGGACATCGGTCCGCGGAGTCCATATGGAAATCAAATATGACATTCCTGCGATGATCCATGTACGGAATTTTCAAGCACGGGTGTTTTATGAGGGTCTACAGAATAAATGCTTTGTTTGTGGAAGCATGGAGCATTTGAAGGTTAACTGCCCTAAACGTAGCAACATCAATCAGCGCCTAGTGCAGAACGATGAAACGGACACGGCTGGTTCACCGAAACCAGACACATCGGGGCAAGCGGGGCCAAGTGGGGCAAACAAAACGAAACCAGGGGCATCAGGTTCAGGTTCATCCAATCCATTGTTCAGTGATATGGCAGCCGGCCGTTGATCGGGAAGACCCACTCCGAAACCTAAAGTCGTGGAAAACAATGGAATGGTTGTGTTGAACAAAACCATACCGGAAAAAGAGAAGAATGTTAAGGAAGATGGTGGCTCGACCGCCATTGCAGAGACAGGTGAGAATTCTATGGAGGTAGACGCCAAGGCTGTTGGCGAAGCAGAGCAGCTGAAGGACATCCCAACGGGTGATCAACTTTCTGGATCGTTGTCTAAAGCAAAAGTCGATGATGATCTTTCATCGGGATCAGAAGCATTGGAGGAAGACAGGGAGGAAGAGTTTCAAACGGTCAAGGACCGTAAACGAGCACGTCGATCGCGTAAAGCTAATGCTGAATCGTCATCTGATGGCTCCATCGAATCCGAGCGCGTAAAGGTGGTTACCGGAGTGACTAAAGGTATTGGAGAATCACAAAGCGTGCTTACTCGAGGTAGGTCTAAACTGATCGTTCTCAACAACGACGGAGCCACATCGGATATCAAAAATATTGAAGCGAATTCGAAAGATAAGTAACACGTTCAACTCTGATGTTTTCTTTATGGAGCCTCTTAGTTTTTTTTCAGATAGTTCAATCTATGTAATAGCATTTAATTTTTAAAAAATAATCATGTAATGAAAATCGCGACGGTGAACTTGAACAGTACTAAGACGGTACTTAATCAAAATTTACTCAGGGATTTCGTATGGAATCATGAGATTGATTTGGTTTTCTTGCAAGAACTATGTTACGAAAACTTCGCCTTTATCCCATCTCATCATGCATTTGTGAATCTGAACGACAAAGGAATGGGTACTGGTATGTTGTTGAGGAAAATGTTTGAGTACAGGGATGTTATTCTTTATCCCAATGGCCGAATAATTTCGATTATTGTGAATGATATTAATTACATAAATATTTATGCATTTTCAGGAACAAATAAGAAGAAAGAAAGGGAGGATTTGTTTTTGAATAACCTTTCTGTTCATATAAACAAGCCAGTAATTAAGTACTCTGTACTAGGAGGAGATTTCAATTGTATTTTAAATTCATCGGACACTCTTGGGAATTCTAAAAATATGTCATCCGGTCTTCAGCGAGTTGTTGAATCTTTCCAATGGAAAGATATCTTGTGGGAGCTCAAAAAGAATGAGTTCACTTTTTTTAGATTAGGTTCAGCGTCCCGTCTGGATCGTTTCTATGGACCAAAAGAATTTTCAAACTCAGTTCTGTTAGTTGAAACAGTTCCAGTTCCATTCTCAGATCATTGTGCTGTAGTGTTGAAGGTTAAGATTGATCCAGATTGCTTACCTACCAAAGGTCGTGGCTATTGGAAAATAAACTCCACAATTTTAGAAAATGAACGCGTTGTAGAAGATTTTGCTAACAGTTATATTTCTTGGAAATCTCGATCCATGTATTGCACAAATCGCAGCAGTTGGTGGAACTATCTGGCTAAAAATAAAACAAAACAGTTCTATAAAGCAGAAAGTTGGTCTAACAATCTTAGAATAGCTCAAGAGAAAAGTTATTTTCATTCAGTATTGATTAACTTACACATCAGATTGCGCTCAGGAGAAGACGTTCACAAAGACATCGGTATAGTAAAATCACGTTTGATGGAAATAGAAAATGAT